GTTATTTAAAAAGTCCTTTTGACTCGTAGGCAGCCAAGGAAGGATGAAGAAGGGCTGTGTTCTGCAGCCAGGGTGTCCTATTTCAAAACCTGGCAGTGCTGTGATGGAGACCTATGTTTTGTCTGAAGCTTTTCAGCCATGGCCTAGAAAACTGTTGAAACCCTTTCCTCCTTCAATGTAAGCCCAGTGGAGGAGGGAAGAGATGTTAAACCGGGGCAGTCTTTCCATTGAAACTGTAAGGTTCTTGAGGGTACAATGACTCTTAATCTATTCATTCTTTTGTTTTCTTCTGAGAACCTAACACTGTGCTATACACAGACAGCTTGTTGAATAGAATGAGATATTTAGTGTTCTCTCTTTTATTAGTGTTGAGAATCCTGAAAGTCTGCTTGTACCAACATTTGGACTCCTGTATCCTATTCTCAAGCGTCTATCCTTGAGTTTATCTCAATAATAATATCTTGAGAGCGGCTTGTCAATACAGTTTTATCATATAATTTTGCCTTAAAGATTCTATACCCAGAATTTGAATTTCATGAATAAAATTTCCAAAGTAATAGGTTAACTTACTGTAAACATACTAAACTTCAATAGCAATACTATGACCTCAAAAGTATTCACTAGTACCTATAGCCATGATGAGCAAGGAGATTGGGTTTTGGAGGGGGAATACCTAGTTGGGACTGACAAAACCTGAGGTCATTTTGATCAAGTCTCTAAAGAAAACTTTGATTATGTAAGAACCCATGAGTTTATTGTGGTAATGTACTGACTCAGATATGCAAAGTGATAACACAATACATGGCATAAGTGTTAAACATATACCTTAAAAATATTGGTTATTCTTTTTACTCTTGGTTGTTATTTTGGTCATTTTTTTCTAAAGCAAGTGACAGCGGGGGGGGGGGGGGGGGATGGGGGGAGGGTCTGGCCTGTGATATGTTGGTGCTCCCATTGTCTTCTCTTCAAAAGTTCAAAGCTCTCCAGAGAATATCTGCCAACTCCATGGGGATTTTCATAGTTACCTCTGGTATAATCTGCTGAGTTTTGCATAGGGAGCATAAACAAATCCTTGTCAAATCACCCAAATCTCCTTTCTAATCGTTTAGAGCATATTCCTCAAGCATCCTTCTTACCGGAGTTTTTTCTCACAATATTTATCACTAAATGTAGATTTCCTTTCCTTAAATTGCTTCTTTCTATGAAAGCTTTTGATCCTCTGGTTGCTTCTGAAATTTTTTTTTTTTTACCATGTTTCGGTAAAATGAGTGGTCAAGCTCTCAAGCTTTTGCCAAGTTACAGCCTCCATTCTGCTTAGACTGGAATCTTTCCTTTCTCAGTGCCTGCCTACGGCTGTTGTGTTACAGCTTCTGATCTCTGTTTGGAGGCTCACTGGCTAAGTCACTAGTAGAGTCTTTATGTGACTTGCTACAGTAGGCAATTTGCAGTTCTCTTCGCCCTCTGTCTGGTGACAGTATTTGACATAAATATCTCCTCTGTCTTAAAAGAGTTACTCTGCTTTTTCACTGCAGACTAAATCTCTGGTCATAATATCTGGCCATTCCTGAGATTGTTTTTCAAATTCTTCCTCTTCCTGAGATCTGTGAACATTAGTTCTTCATACTTTTCTTCCCTACTCTCCAGGGTCTTCCTAGGTTGTCTTTTCTTTTTTCATGCCAAAGACTACACTTCACTCTACAAATGTAAGAAATCACTGGTGTCAGAGGCACCAGGATTTTTATATCCCACAAAGGAAGAACGGCTCTAATTAAATGACACGAGGATATGTAATCATAGTAATTATGATGGATAGAATTTATTTTCAGAGCTGTCATTCTCAGAACTCTCAGGATATGAAAAATGTACAACCAAGAATTCAGAATGGGGTGCATAGAATAAATGTCATTTCCACTGCATGAACTCATGTAGTACCTTCAGTAATGTATGTAGATGAATTGTAAGAACTTTGCTCCAAGAAATGAATAGTTTCCTGAATCTTATCTCTGCAAGTGTGATAGAGGCTTTATTGCGGTGTAGCTTTTTATATGAATTAGCATCAAGTTAGCTGAACAATGAAGCATAGTTTGTTGCGCCAGCAGGTCATCAGTATGGTATTAGAAGCCTGAGATTTATTTCATTTTAGGTAATCTGGCTATCTTAGTATAGAAAACTGGTATTTTCAGGCAATTCCAAGAAGATTGCAATTGAGGAAAGACTGAAGGTTTCCCGAATGCATAGAGTTCACTGTTATATTTCAGATACTAGTTCACTCTCTGAAGTACTACCCATCCAATTTGTGCTAAAGACCTGCATCTTTTAAAAACAAAAACAAGGGCTGGGAATGTGGCTCAGTGGTAGAGTGCTTGCCTTGCAAGCCGGAGGCCCTGGGTTCGATTCCTCAGCACCACATAAGCAAAAAGAAAAAAGCTGGAAGTGGCACTGTGGCTTGAGTGGTAGAGTGCTAGCCTTGAGCTGAAGAGCCGAGGGACAGCGCCCAGGCCCAGAGTTCAAGCCCCACGACCGGACCCAAAAACAAAAACAAAAACAAAAACAAAATCCTCAAACTTCCACTTTATCATTCCAGTTAACTTCTTTCATTTTCACTCTGTTTTTGGCACTATTTGCTTTTGGGGATGCATATTTTTCCAAAATTAAGGGTAAATAGCACAAAGATTTAAACAAAAACGCACTTGAAACTACTGAAGGGTTCTTTGCATCTATTGAGCTGCAGAGAGTATACATACAGGAATTAATTTTTTTGAAATTTTATTTATTTATACATATGTATATGTACATAAAACATGTTTGGTCAAAACCATGTGTGATAAATCTGGGAATTAGTCAACATTACAGTTTATACCATCAAATGGCCCCTGAATATTTCTGAGATGACAAAATTTAAATTTTTGTATTTCTTTTTGTTGTTGCACATCACTGGGAAATCACAGAGTGTTTCCCTCATGTTCTTTCCTCACTCTTCCAAACTTCAAAATTGCTTTTGACAGCTCTGGGACCTGTAAGAACTATTGCCATATTTTGAAATTTAATTTTCCTACACTATCATCCAAAGTTAACAAAAGGACATGGAAAAATCCTATTAAATATTCCATTCTGCCAACATTTATGTACCTTATTCTATTCCCCTAGGGTTTTCTAAAAATAATTTAAGTGGTATACTTAAATTACCCTCTTTCACTTTTGTAGGGAAAATAATCTGTTCTCAACCTTTCATCTCAGAAAACATTATTTATGATCAATATTATCTATGGTCAGTATACTATTCAATAAAGTTTTGTTCCCCTAGGAGCAGAAAAGTTATTTGTACTCCATTATTATATATTGTTATCTGGTATAGTACCCCTGGATTTGTGCTTTGCTTAGACATATTTTAGCATGCAAATTACATTTTTTCCCCTCAAATGAATGGTTTACAATGACATTTGCTTTAATTTTCCCCTTCTACTACTCTTATAATATCCGTCTTATAGATAGTTCAAAATAGAATTTTTAGTAACAAAATTTTAAATAAAATGATGTGGGAATTGAAAAGTACACTCCTTAAAAATTCTTGGCTCAAAGAAGTAAAAGCTGGAATTAGAGGCTTTTTAGAAAGTAGGAAAAATAGGAATACCAATACCACAAACAAAATTTGTAGATTGTAGCCAAAAATTTACTTAGAGGAAAATGACTCAACTTAATAAACTGTATTATTAACCAAAAATAATGAAAATTAATGTGCTATTAAATCTTAGAGTTTAGGGGGAAAAACACAAACCACATGATATACTCAAGGAAAGCAAGTTATGATATCATGCAAAGGTAGATATTAAAATATTAAGAAAGAAATATAGAATTGATAAATTCAGAACTTTTTATTCTGAAGAAAAACCTTTACCTATATAGTCACAAAATGTTTAAAAACATAATTCACAATATTAGGAATGAGAGGAGAGAAAATGAGTTCTAGCCATCATGATTATTTTGACAAATCCTGCAAAGGGTTGAAAAGAGTATAAGAATTTGAAAACCTGCAAAAAGAAGATAGTTTATAAGGAAAGTAGGTTTTAACTGAATTGATAAATCTATAACTGCATAAGAAATAAAAATCATTATTAAAAAATTCATAGCTATAATTAATTCAGTGGATAGAATTAGCTCTGTTTTATTATAGAAGTCACTGTGTTCAGCTCTACACATGATCTACAGAGATTGTGCTATTCCCATTGCATTTTTTGTTGGTATGATCTCAGTGTGCCTATTCATAAAACAGATAAATGCATGATCAAAGGTGTTTCTAGATAGCTCTTTCAACAGCCTGGGTTTTAGTTCAGTGAGAATTCCATTCACTACAAAAATTTTATTATATAAATGAACGTAAAGATCTCAGAGTAGTAGGGTTATTTGAATATGTTTGTCTTCTGATATTTTTTCCTCCCATATGAACATTTATTTCATACTATATTGCTTAATATTCACATTTTAGTATTTAGCCCATATTATATTTATTTCAAATAATACTTTATACAAAATTAGACAACCACAAAAGGTTTAGAAACATAGAAAATATTGTTTCCTTTTTTAGGATATATTTTAGGATATATAGTCATTGGGTAAACTCAGAATTTTAATTTACTATTTGCTTTAAGTTGGAAATTGTATATAATTGCAATGAAATAAAAAAAAACCACTTGACCCCTTAAAACTCAAAGAAATACATAATATCTATTAAAAATCTGTGGTCCATTTAAAATCATGTTTTAGTAACTGGTGAATTTTTATTTTTTGATATAAATAATGTTCTTTTTTTTTTTTTTGCAGTGCTGGGGTTTAGCCTTGTGCTTGTTAGGCAGGTACACTACCATTTGAACCATACCAACAGCCCTATTTTGGTGTTTATTTGAGTAGTTCTCAAATTATATTTTACACTAGGCATGAAATACTATTTTATGACTAACTCTCTTGCTTTCCTAAAACTTTTTCCATCAATCTGATTTTTCTAGGTTGAAAATGTACGCTTGGTAGATCGAGTATCTTCTAAAAAGGCAACACTGGGTACTTTGTATTTGACAGCCACCCATGTTATATTCGTGGAAAATGCACCTGACACAAGAAAAGAAACATGGGTATGCTTTCCTTATTTTTGGCTTTACATGTTTCCCATTATTGAGTAGTTTGACCCTCTTAATTTTTCCATTTCTACTCAGAAATGAGGTGACTGAACTGTTGGTGTTCTAGTGTTCAGGGGATGGTTTCTGGAATGTGCTTTGCCTTTTTCTAAGAATATACTGAGTCATAAATACTTTATTTGTTCATTCTGAACACTAATTATTTGGATATCATCAAAGATAGACATAGCCTGAAGATTCAAGTCATAGCTATCAAGAAGACATTAAATAACATAAGTGTATGGGAGAAGGCATTTCCATAGTAATTGATTTGCTATATGGTATTTACCCTATCCTATAATTTAGCCATTCGGTCATTTTCCTATGTGTCTCTAGTTTTCTAGGAATTTTAAAAGAAAAGAAATATAGAGAGCAATCAGGTGTTTCTGCTCCTTAATGAAACCATTAAGCATTTCCTACTTTCTACAGCATGAAATTATGACCAGATCTAAAAACTTTAACTGTAGCTTTTCTCCTTCCTATATGAATTGTGTTACATGTTAGAGGTTGGCAAGCACTATTGTGGAAATGAACTTAATGCAATGCTGCCATTGAGGACCAGCCATAAATCTCTCTGAAACACCAGAGATGGACTTCATTATGGTTTGTTTTCAAATATCTTCCTTATGGAGTAGAATGATGATCATCTGATCTTGGCAGCTAAGCAGGGTTGGGTCTGGTTATTACATGGATAGAAGAATATTATGGTAGATATTGAGTGTTGTAGGTGGGAGTGAGAAGGAAGAGAATGGAGTATTGCTGATCAAAAACACTTCAGATAGACAGGAGGAATAGGGCTTGATATATTTGGCATAGCAGTGCATTATAGTCAATACTAATATATTTCAAAATAACCATGAAAGTAAATTATGGATGTTTCACTATGAAAAGTGATAAACAAGATGATGGATCTATTACCTTGATTTAAATGTTCCGTATTTTATATATATATATCTCAAAGCATCATGTTGTACCCTGTAAGTATATATAATTATAATTTGTCAGTTGAATATTGTATTAATAAAAAAACTAAGAAAATAATTCTTTTTCGGGCTGCCTGGTCACCACCAGCTTAGAAAACAAGTATCTCAAGTTGCTGTTGACTTTCAGCATTCCATGTGGAATTAAGGAGCAAGGTGGTACCTCCCCACGGAGCCATCTCCAGCTTTTCTTGATTGCAAAAGTTTATTTTACTAACTTCCCATGACCTTATTTAAATTTAGCTAATACATGCATTTGGCATTTGACCACTAAAATAGTCCCTTACTTGAAGTTGTTCAAATTTACATGCTGAATGATTTGCATCAGAATAATTATTCTGGATGTCAGAAAGCTAGGTATCGAAAACTAATTATAGATTTAGACAACTGATTCTTACTTGGAACTTCTCAGTTTTTGTTACTTGAGTTCAGTGGTTGAGCTAGTAAAAAATTGGGGAATCTTACCTGTTTGTGTGACTCAAACCCCGTTAGTTCTTGTTATGTGTTATTCATGCTTGGTGATCCAAATTAAACTTTTGGTTCTAAGATTCTTCATAGTCAGATTTCCACCATTGAGAAGCAAGCAACAACTGCTACCGGCTGTCCTCTGCTTATTCGCTGTAAGAACTTTCAGATCATACAACTCGTCATACCACAGGAAAGAGATTGCCATGATGTGTACATCTCTTTGATCCGCCTTGCACGGCCAGGTAGGCAATAGAACTCACATTAATCATGGACCACTCCCTGAAAGTTGCAAATTGTATTCAAGAGTTTGTGCAGTGCTTAGGAATGACAGTGTTTTGGGGATGCTATGTCATCTCATCCTCAAATCAGGCTAAGTTTGAATGATCACGCAATATATACTTCCTTATTTTGGGAGTCCGTCCTCCCTGAGTTACTTACCATCTGGGGCTGTTTTATTAGTCTTAGTATTCATATATCCTTGGTAGAGGTCTAATATGTTTCCCTCTGAAGTGAAATCATAAAATTATGCCCTGTGGATCCTCTGATAATTGAGCTACCTTCAAAGACACCTAAGGCAGAACTAACTGTTCGGTGTGGAGTACCTTGTTTTCTAACATTTCTAGTGTATTCTTGACCCTTTAAAGGTTTAGTCTTCATTAATTTTTGATAGTTATATGTGTTTTCCAACAAGGGTGCAACTAACTAGACTTTTGTCAGCACCAGTGACAATTTAAAGTATGTATATGTTAATTCTCTTAAACATGGCCTTCTTACAGGTAATTAGAAGAAAGCTTGGATTTGAAAAAAATTAGCTCTCTTACTTACTGCCTTATTCTAGCCCTCATGTGAGGGTCTTCAGAGAGATATACACTTCTACGTTTTCTGTCTCTGTGTGACTTATGGAAGATGTGGTATTCTTTTGCTTAAAAGAAATACACTTCTAAGTTTGTTTTTATTTTTGTGTGTGTGTGGGGGTGTTGCACAGAAGTCATCAACAAGGGAAATAAGATGTGTATTTATAATGACTCTGTCATATCTGTTTTGATTCAGGACTGGGAGTTTATTTGTGAACTTTTCACAACGTTTCATTGGACTTGAGTTCCTTGTGATATGTCCTAATCATTTGGAGGTAGCTAAGAGTCAAAATGAGTCTATGGAAATGACCTCTGGGTGCCATAGATTCTGATCATTTTGACTTTACCGTGTTCCTTTTTAAAGGCAGTTAGTTGAGACTGTTTTTTCCTCCTCTCTTAAGTGTGTTGAAAAGAACTGCAAAGTAAGCCAGTAAAGCAGTTGAACTTTTTGAAGGGTGTACTATAATTGGAACAGAGTTCTGGGAAGATGTACATTAGGTTGCATGCAGCAGAGAATGAGAGGACAGTTGTATGCCAGCAATTTCTGTGTCACTGATTAATGGATGTGCTGGTAATAAATGTGCTCTGACTGGATTAATGGGATTTAGGAATAGCCCCAAGAACTGGGAAAGGGCTGAGCAGCTGGGAGAACAGATCACAGGGGTGATTGAGGCCCAGAGGCAGCAAGTGCTAGGGCTCTCATGTGAGGATCTGAAACCACTATGTTTTTCTAATTTTAAAAATGTATGGTTTTTCTTAAAAGGTAATGTTTTAGGAGTTAGGTAGATGTAGCCAGAGACCTTGTCTTTTCTTTTGGCAAAAGGAAACCGTAATAGTTGACTCAGAACCATCATCTGAGAGGATTAAAAAGAATAGCTAGCATTTTGACATACTGGCCTTATAAATGCCAGTTTATGTAATCCATTACTTAATGTGGGAAGATGAAATGGAAGCCAAGCAGGCCCAAGTTTAACGTTAAGGACAATGATAAAGTTGGGACAGGTAACAAGCAAGGCTCTGAGTCTAGGCTCTGGGTGGGGAAAGATAGAGGCTGTGAGCTATGAAGGTAGTTTTCAGTTGGGTGAAGGAGGTGGTTCTTGAAAACTGTCTGTGGATAGTTTGCAGAACATGCCTTCCTCCTCTAGACTGGTGTGTGTGTGTGTGTGTATGTGTGTGTGTGTGTGTGTGTGTGTGTGTGTAGGTTTTCTGGGATAGAGTAAATAAAATACATAAAAACTTGGAGATATTTTTATTGGTTTGCCATTTGTATGAATGAATAAAGATGATAAGCATTTGGTCATGGACTACAAAAGATCCCAGTACAAAGTAATGTGACCAAATTCAGCATCTTCTTTAATTCTCAATAAAGAAATAACGTGTTAAAACACAGTTTGCCTAAATGAGAAAGTAAGTTAACCCAATAGATAAATGTACTTTAATAAGTATATAAATTTTTCTGATTAAAAGACCCGTATCTCTGAGAGAGCTTCTACTTTTCCCATGGCCTCTCTGTACTCCTCCCTCTAATTTGCCTCCTGCTGTTTATTTTGGTATCAGCTAGATTTGTGGGCTCTTCAACATCTAAATAATTTCTTTGTTTATTTTATTTTCCCATTTTTGCTAAATTACAGTTTTTTTTTAAGTTCCTCTCAGTTCCCATTTTTCTGTAACTTTTTAAATTTACAGTAGTGGGCCTTGGTTTTTGTTAAAGCATATATTATACTACCAAGGTGCCTGTTTCTTCTTATTTTTTAAAATCTCACAATGAGGTAGTCTCATTTGCTTTATCTTTGACGTTTTGTTCTAAGTCATCGATTTTTAGCAGTTTTTACAGTGGTAGTAATTCCTCTTTTATTGAAGATAGTTAATTGAGTCTAATGATCCTTTTCCCAAGGCGTTAACTTCAATAGTCCTAATATTTAATCCAAACTTTGTTTAAAATAATAAAGGTGAGACACCATAATTAGGAGATGTGATAGATACAAATTCCAATACTAGCTGAGTTATCTCCCCACCCTTTCTAAATGGCCTTTCATCTACATTCATTTTTAAGTTGCCTGAACTCAACAGAACAGAAAATTGGCTTTCAGTCATTACTGCACATTTTTTTGTTTTTCTGTTGGTGGTTGGTAATTTGCCTTCTTCTCACCCATACTTCACATTCTGCTGATGCTAATTCATGTTTGTTTTTCTTTCAATTTTATACCATTTTTGATTTTAAAATCAAATACCTGGGAAACAAGATAGGTTATTTTCCTTCCTTCCTTAAAGTTTTGTTTTACCCACATTTCTCTTTCCTTTGGCAGGAGAAGGAAAGGAACAAAAATTGGGTACTGATACAGGTCCATTTCAGGCTTGATGGTTCCAAATTGAGTGTTTATATTTGATCATTTTCTCTGGGAAGCAGCAAGTAAGATTATTTGAGAGTGATGGTGTTGGTGAGAACTACAGAGATTGAATTGCATTATGGTGATGCACATACTTCCTTAAATTAAGGAGACAGCCATGAATAGTGTTCTAAAAACATGAATTTCTATGTGTATCAAAGCATGCATTTCTATGTTGTACTTGAACCCATGCTTTTGACTGAGCTATGGATTAGGCTTGTTTGAAAATAATTTTGTATTTTCAATTTCATATGTATCATGAATTAGTATATCATGAGGTATTTTCCCCTATGACCCAGCAATCCCACTTCTGGGCATTTACCCAAATGATCACAAACAAGGCCATACTAAAACTACCAGCACAACTATGTTTTTTGCAGCACTATTCACCATAGCTAAGATATGGAACCATTCGATGCCCCTCAGTAGATGAGTGGATCAAGAAAATGTGGTATATATATCTATATATCTATATCTAGATACACAGATATCTAGATATAGATATATAGTGGAATTCTATGCGTCCATCAACAACACCGAACAACAACAAGAACAACATCAACAACAAGTACAACACCGTCCTATTTGTTAGGAAATGGAAAGACTTGGAAAAAATTATATTAAGTGATATAACCCAGTCCCAAAGAAATTTAGGTCCCATGGTTTCCCTTATTTGCAATAATTAGTATACATACAGGATAATCTTATCAGATGAGCTCAAAAGCTCAAAAGCCATGTACAGATGACCATGTAAGATGATTCTAAGTGAATTGAACCCCAAGATATGGATACAAGAGGTCTGTCTTTGTTGTTATTCTTTTAAATGTACCATGTGATTTTATTTTATTTTTGTTGTTGTTTCCTTTGTATGTTCTTTCCCCTATGACATATCCCCTGTTGTCACTGTACTTGATTTTGGTATCCTGAATCAAGGACACAGGATGACCCATTGCAACAAGGATACCCACAGGACAGTATATTGGAAACAAACTTTATAACTTTGGGTGGTGGGTGGGTGAGGAATGGGGTAGGATAGGGAGGAGTGGGGGGGGGAGGGAAGGGATAGTGGGGCAACAACAAGGAAGGGAGGGGGTAACAATGATCGACAAATAATATACCCATTTCCTTACTCATGTAACCATAACTCCTCTGTATAGCATCTTTACAGTAAGAAAGTTGTCATTTTGTTAATTGATAGAAAAACAGTCAAGTAGGCCTTTGTTAAGCTAATTATATAACTTAAATAGGATACATATGATGAAGTAAATACTAAGATGATTTCCATGTAACTTTTTCTGAAATGGTTTTGACTTTTAGAAAATTATCGATACATTTTCTGTTTACTCCCAGAATTCACAGGCATGTTGGATATTTGCTTTATATAGGAAGCGGTCCCATGCCCTCTTTTGTAAGAGCCCGACAGTGTATGTCCTATTAAACCTGATGATCATCAGCACAAAAAAATGTTTTATTGGATGTGACAGCTCAGACTCTATGATGTGAGAAGCCAGTGGAGTATTTAGCATGTCTGTCTGCTGAAGGATATGACCTTTCTAAAGCAGACATATTTTTTTTTCTAAACTCAGATTCTGTAAAGATGAAAGATTTCTCTAAAATGAAACGCTTCTCCACAGCAAAAGAAAAAGTTAACAGACTGAAAGACAACATATGTATTGGGAGAAAACATTTGGAAGACATATATTATATGAGGGATTAACTATGAGACATGCATAATAAAGAATGCAATTCTATAAGGAGAAAACATGTGGTCCAGTTAAGAACTGAGCAAAGGTCCTAGCTAGATCTTTCTCAAAAAGAGACATATGAATGGCTAACAGAGACATGAAAAATGCTTCATATCACTATTCATTAGGGAGTTGCATAGAGCACATTAAGATATCTCCTCATACATGCTAGATTGGCTGATAATGGAAAATGAATTATTTTTCACTCTAGAAGTAAGTTGAGAAAAGAGAACCTTGTATATTGTAGGTAGGAGTATAAATTAATATAGGCATTATGGAAACAGTAGTTCCTCAAAAAATAAAAATGGAACTATTGTTTTAAAATAATTACCACAAGATTTGAAATCAGTATGTTGAATCCTATTTTATAGGAATTAGGAGTGAGATTGTACTGTTCACTATAGTCCAGTTATCAACCTGTGTGTCCATCAGCTGATGAATGGAGAAATAAAATGTGCTATGTGTATGTATATATATATATATATACATACACATATATGTATATATACATACGTACAATTATGTATATATATACCACATAATGGAATATTACTCCACCTTTCAAAAGGCATAAGTTCTTTATTTGTAACAATATGTATAGAATCGAGACTATTATGCTAAGTAAAATAAACCAGACAGAGAAAGACGAATACTACATGTTCCCATTCATATTTGGCATACAAACCAATTGAATTCATAGAACTAGAGGAAAGTATGGTATTATCAGAGTGTGTGTGGGAGAATAGGGAGCTGATCACCAAAAGGATACAAAGCCTCATATAGTAAGTAAAAGCCTGATTAATTCTTATTTTTAAATCTACTGTATAGCCTGGTAAAGAAAGCTAATAATTGAGGACTGTACATTTTAATATTTCTAAGAGTAAATTTCAATGTTGTAATCACAAAAGTGTTAATTATTTGAGGTGATACAAATATTAATTGATTTAATCATCCTACATTTTAAAATGTTAGCATCTTGTGTCTAATGAATATTCACAATTATAAATTATATAAATTTTAAATTTCCAGTAAGTAAGTAAATTTCTTTAAGATTCTACAAACAACAATGAAAAAACCCACAAGGATTTCTTTAGCCCTAGATTTTCTTTCTATCTTCTCTGCTGACTGCTGTAACTTCTGCTATGTATGTAATGGAAATTGGAAGTGAGAAAAACAGAAAATTATGAATTGAGAAATATTCAGTGAGATTTACATCTGTGCTAAGGATACTTGAATTTCTCACAGTACACAGTGTTCTGGCTTCTTTTAGGCTGACCTTGGGTTAACACAACTGAGATTTGGTTAACAAGAGTGGAAACCTTCCTGCCCCGATGAAGAATTGTACTTAAATTGGATTTGAGGATCAGCTAGTCACCCTTATCCTAAAAAAAATGTGAAAGAAAAACAAATGGGATAATTTCATGTCAACCTGTTCTAATATCTCTCAGCCTGAGTGATCTTCATGTCTTCTTTGAATTTTTCTTGTTGTAGTTTATGTACAGTTTCACTGTCACTTCCCATTAGAAGCAAGCATCAGCTCCTACATGGAGAACTGCCAATAGTCATGGAATGTTTTTCTTCTTCCACCTTTAAACCTATTTGTAAATATTTAATAAAGAAAAGTTAACTTCCATTATTATTCCATATTTGTAAGCTCTTCTTTCACTGAGGGAACAGAAGCTTTCTCAAGAGATTCTTCTGGCATCTTAAACAAATTGCATTTGCGGTTAACATTATGGTAGCAGAAGCCTGAGTCATGAAAATGGTACTCAGAGATGGAAAGGATGTGTCAGTGTTGAACTAGCTGTTCCCAGAACATGATCTCATATTTGTGTGTGTGTGTGTGTGTGTGTGTGTGTGTGTGTTGTCCTTCAATTAGCTAAGATGACAGCAAATTATCATCTTGCTGAAAGTGTTAGCTTTGTTATTTATATGTCCTTGCACCTGTATGTAGCATTTTGCTATTTGATCAAGTAATGTTCTCAGTTTTAAAGTTCAGAAAGGTAATAGCAAGAGAGACTAATATAGATTACAATTCAGTTATGTCAAATGAAAAAAAAAATTGGTACTTAAAATGATTTTATCTTTCTTTAAAACATTTCCCTTATCTTTCTTCTTTTATGTGGATGACTCGACTCTAGAGCAATCAAACAAGTTTGAAACTGAGTTTTGATCTAGAGCAATCAAACAAGTTTGAAACTGAGTTTTGATCTAGAGCAATCAAACAAGTTTGAAACTGAGTTTTGATCTTAAGCTGAGATCCTTCAGGGGGCCTCCAAACATATCTCAAGAAACACTAAATTTTTGTTGCTGGGTGCAATCACCAGTTGAGTAAATGAGAGAACCTAGGAAAACTATGAGGAGATAGAGGTGGGAAAGGAAGAGGAACATTAGAGGGATGGAATGAGGAAAGTAAAGGAGGAAGGAAGGAGCTGCCGTGGTATTGGGTGTGGCATACAGTTATGATGATACAGTACCTTGGTAGCTATGGCCACAGGAGGCTCTTTAGCACTTAAAATGTGACCACATCTGAAGAGGTATCAGTGTAAAATACACAATCAAAAACAAGCAATACAAATGAAAAACCAAGATGTGAAGAATATTAATGCATTTCATACTATGTACATGTTGAAATGATAATAGTTTGGACATATTGGATTAAATGAAAAGAGTTTCTAATTTTCCCTCTTCCATTTTATTTTTCCATGTAACTACAAGGATATTTTAAATGGTATACATAGCTTGCATTATATTGTTGGGTTTGGACACATTGTATTGTTGGTTTAGACACTCCCCTTTTATGACAATATCAAAGCATTAACAAAAACCAAATTTTATATTTTATTGGGAAAAGGGAAGTGTTGAGGCTGTTGGCCTCACCAAGCATAGATGATGCATAAAGACAGAAACACTGAAAAAACTGAAAGATTTTTCCCCATGCATTCTTCAACTTGTAATCTATGTGGAGGCTGCTGTGCATTATGAATTAATGTTTCTTATGAATACTAAACAAGTCTTATGATCAGCACAATTATAATGTATATGAAGTTGTTAAAGTTCAAATGTTTTTAATGCAAACATACCACATAATCGCTAGCTTTTGGAACTGTTTTAGTGAAAATGTGGAAGTAACCTGGGGCTCTATTCACTTTTGAAAAGCCACTTCACTCTAAACCGGAACTTGATATGTACACATAAAAAAGAATTCCTGATGTCTACTGAATATGTACACTCTATATTCATTCCATATTCATCTTAAGGTAATTTTTAAAAAAGGAACTGGGAAAGGCTCTACTTGTTAAAAGGAAGAAGTTGTTGCATAGTAAAGTCCAAATACTGAAGGCCTTCTTTCTCATCAAGGCTGGGTGACCTTGTCCACAGAGGCAGGGCGCTCCTGGGACTGTGCCAGGGGTGGGAGGTTAACTCCAGCTGGGACAGAATGTTTTGGGGGATATTTGGTTCTGGCTTTGACTTAGCTTGATTTGGCTTTCTTCTTTTCTTGCAGTGAAATATGAGGAGTTGTACTGCTTTTCATTCAACCCCAAGCTGGATAAAGAAGAAAGAGAACAAGGTTGGATGCTAATCGATCTTAGTGAAGAATACAAGCGAATGGGCCTCCCCAATAATTATTGGCAGCTCAGTGATGTGAACAGAGACTACAGAGTGAGTGGAAACATTTAGTCAAATCCAAATACTTAATCCATGTGAAATCCTGATTTCAGATAGCTTTGCATGGCTTTAATGTCCTTGAGATTTTGTAGCCCTTTGGAGATAGTGTGAGTTTCTTGGTCTCCTACGGTTATTGCTGGCTTGTTTCTTACCTGTACCTACAGTCAGAAAGTCTGAGCAAGAGGAACCCCCTCCTCATCCCCCATGAATACTCCTAAAAGGGTTGAGATTCAGTGCAGATCTTGTGGACAGGCAGTTGGCTGGGACCTGAGTCTCCCATCATGTCTTTTTATAGCACAGGAGTGATTAGAAGGGAAGTCAGAGAGACTGATGGCAGTTTGGCACCAGGTCCTTGATGTGCTCACTAGACTCTTGATTGGTACACAGGGTCAGCAAGAAGTTCCCTAGAGAGATGTGGAGATATGTGTCTGCACTTGCAGAAAGCACTATGCAATGCAAAGGAGCGAACAGGAGTGGCAAACAAACTCCATGTTTTCCCTAGTGGTAGTTGAATATCAGAGGTGGTTTCCCTACTGATTCTCAAATATTTTAAGTAATAAAAGTAGTATAAGAACCTTGTAGAGAGTTTGTAAGAGAGAAGGAAAGAAACAGGCATATCCACCATCCCATTGCCTTAACACTCTTCCTCCCCCGCCTTTTATTGTTGTTTAAGGTTTTAGCAAGGACGTATTTTAGTGTATAGAAAGATAAAGTAAAGAGATGAAAAAAAGTGGGGCTGGGAATGTGGTGTACTGGTAGAGTGCTTGCCTAGTATGCATGAAGCCCTGGGTTTGAGTGCTCAGTACCACATAGACAGAAAAAGACAGAAGTGGTAGAGTGCTAGCCTTGAGCAAAAGAAGCTCAGGGACAGTGCCTAGGTCCTGAGTTCAAGCCCTAGGACTGGCAAAAAAAAAGAGAAATGAAAAAAGGGAAAAACATTTCTGTTCCCCATGAAGGAAATGGGAGTAAAAACTCAAAAATGGCCATTTTTATTTTTGGTCTTTGTGTACTGTATGAACTAAAAGAATGGATGGTGATGATGTTCTTATTCTTTCTTCTACTCCTTTTCTTCCTCTTCCCCTTCTCTCTCCTCCTTTCTTCTTATCCTCTTCCCCTTCCTTCTTTCATCTTCATCTTTTTTCTTTTTTCTTTTTCTTTTTTTTTTTTGTGGTTCTGGGAATGGAACTCAGGGCCTTGTGCATTCTTAGGCATGCCCAGACTACTATTCTTTCATTAAAAAAATGTTCTTTCTTTGGTTTCAGTTGTGTATTTTGATTACAGTTTTCTGTCCTAGGTAATGTTTTTGTTTACCATTCATAGTGGCTCTTCTTTGAATTGCCTATTTCCATTCTTGGTCTTTTTTCTAAATTTTATTTGTCTTTTCCCTATTGTACATTAGTAGAACTTCTTTGTGTAGTCTATCATCTTGTACAGCTGTTGAAATGTCTGAATTGTCAACACTTTTATTTTATCTTTGTCTGTTGTGGGGCTTGAACTCTGGGTCTGGGCGCTGTTCCTTGGCTCTTGGGCTCAAGGCAAGTGCCCTACCATTTGAGCTACAGTGCCACTTCCGGTTTTCTGGTGATTTATTGGAGATAAGAGTCACGGAGTTTCCTTGCCTTGGCTGGCTTTGAACCTTGATCCTCACATCTCAGCCTTCTGTGTAGCTATGATAACAGGTGTGAGCCACCAGCACCCGGCATTGTCAATGCTTTTTTAAAGCGTATTGTGAAAAAGGAAATTATTGTTTGCTAATCTTTGTTGAAATTCAACACTGTATAAACTCTGTAATTTCACTTTTATTAATTTGCTATTATAGTTTTGTCATACATCTTAATACCCTGTAAGTCAAGCCTTTCCATACCATTCTTCAGTATATCATAAATTTACAAACTACTTGGGGTAAATTAAATAGCCTTATTTAATCCTTGTAAAGTATCTGGCTAGTTGAATGGCAATTCCTTTGTAGAACTATATGACATATATATATATATATATATATATATAAAACAATATAATTTTAAATTCTATACTAAATATATCATTCTATAGCTAAAGTATAGTTTTGGGCCAATAGACACTATAACTATTAAAGAATGAATAATAAAATGAAAAAGTACCTAACTAATATAATCAGACTAAAGCCAACCTTTGCATTGAATTTTTAGCCTTGAAACAAAAGGCAAAGAAATCAGGGTTTAGTAAGGAAAAGTGTTAGTCTTTTAAGGAAAAATATGACACATACTTGGGCAAGGAAGAAAATGAAGCTGAGCTACGTGTAGTAGAATAATATGTTTTTGGAAGTATAGGTTCTTTTCATTTTTACAACATTTTCCTCTACAGTTGGCACTACAAACATGACTCATGTACAATCACCGATGTCCCTAAGTTGTAGACTGCAAGAATGTGTGTTACTCAGTATTTCTTTTCAAAAGTGACACATAGCAAAACAAAGCTGTTTAACAAGCTGTTCGGGGGAAAAAGGGTAAAAACCTAGGGATTTTCTAATTTTGTAAATGTTGTTGAAATAGGGGGAAATATGATATATACTTATTCCTTAACAGTTTAGAAATAGAATAGAGACTGTGTTCTTTCAGAAAATTTCCTAACTAGTAGTTCATTGAAAGAGTTTGATCCTAATCCATTTCTTGTGTTTTTAATTTCATGGTTAAGAAAATGTGTACTTTCCCCTCCTTTGCTTTATAAGTTATTTTGTGCTTTTTGTAAATCCTTTGAGTTAGGTGGGGCAAATGACATCATGTATTGGAGAAGAAATAATTTCCTGTGCTAGCAATTACATCAGATATAGTGTATGAAAAGTTTAATCTCAAAACCAGCCCTACTATTTTCTCTTTGGTAGTCTTGGTTAGGCTTATTATTATTATTATTATTATTATTGTCATCTCTGTTATCATTACAACCTTCTTTATGATACTTGCTTATAGTAGTATAACACTCTCTTATTTTATACCTAACCTTGAAATAATCTTTATTAAAAAAAAACAGTTTATATCTTTTGCTAAGTTTTTTAATTGAGCTCTCATGGAGTAAATCTTAACCCACACTAATCATTTTATAAAAGCTTATTTACTTCAGTTCTTTATGTCACACAATGCATGTGTTATATGTAACATTTTTATTATATCTTTTGTATTAATATTATGTATTTTGTATTAATATATTACTAATATAATGTGGATATCATTTTATTTACAAATAATTTATGAATTATTTATCAATAAATTATGAGGTTCACATAGTTTTATTCCTCATTCATCATAAATTTTTAATATAAATTTTAGGTCCAAAATGTTTAAGAAGAAAATTTTGATGTAGATATATCTTAGTTCCTGAAGACAAACTCTTACTCCACAGTGTATGACTTAGTGTTCTTCAATAAATAGAGGTCTTACCAAGATCTCTTGGTCTTACCAATATCTCTTGTATGAATAATACTCTACAATGATAAATACATTTTCTGGCAGTTTATAGCTACCTCAACAAAGACTCATTCTTCTGGGATTGTGGAAAAAACCAGAACAGTAAATACTAAGATCATTTTTTTTATCCCAGTGAATATAAAATTTGTCATCTTCATTCTAAGTGTATAGTTTAATAATACCATCATCAATTTTTTTTGCTCAATTTTTTACACAGTTTTTTTTATTGTGTAGCTGTATTCATTAAAAAGAAAACAACATGCTGGGCGCAGGTGGCTCATGCCTATAATCCTAGCTACTTAGGAGGCTGAGATCTGAGGATTGCGGTTTAAAGTCAACCTGGGCAGAAAAGTCCATGAGACTCTTACTGCCAATAAACCACCAGAAAACCAGAAGTGGCACTGTGGCTCAAGTGGTAGAGAGCCTGCTTTGAGCTGAAGAGCTGAGGGACAGTGCCCAGGCCCAGAGTTCAAGCTGACAAAAAAAAGAAAAGAAAAGAAAGAAAGAAAGAAAAGTGAGAAAGGGGGGGGAAGATAGAAAGAAAGAAAAAGAAAGAGCAGAAAGAGGGAAGGAAGGAAGGAAGGAAGGAAAGAAACAGAATACACAACTCCCTTTGAGCCAGGGTTATAGGTGGCTCACACCTATAACCCTAACTTCTCAGGAAGCTGAGATCTGAGAATCTCAGTTCAAAGCCAGCCTGGGCAAGGAAGTCTATGAGACTCTTATCACCAATTAACCACCAGAAAACTAGAAATAGAGCTGTGGCTCAAAGTGCAGAGCTCTAGCCTACTTGAGCAAAAGAGTTCAGCGGCAGGGTCCAGGCCCTGAGTTCAAGCTCTACAACCACCACCACCACCAACAAAACAAAACAAAACAAAACAAAACTTCCTTATTTCCTACTCACATCACTCTTTGTTTACTCCTTGGTTAATGGACAATCTGGTTGTTTTTTTCTCTTGGCTTTTATGAACACAATTATAGAAATACTTCTTTGAGACTCTGATTTCAATTTTGGCTATTTACCCAGAGGCAGGATACTAGAGTAAAATTTTATTTTTTTGTTGTTGTTGGTCATGGGGCCTGAACTCTGGGCCTAGGCACTGTCCCTCAGCTCTTCAGCTCAAGACTAGTGTTCTACCACTTGCCACACAGCACCACTTCTGGCTTTTTCTCTTATGTGGTGCTGAGGAATTGAACCCAGGGCCTCATGCATACAGGGCAAGCACTCTACCACTGGAGCTACTTTCACAGCCCAAGAATTCTATTTTTAAATGTTTGAGGAGATGTTTTCTGTAATCGTTACACTGTTTTACAGCCCCCACCAACAGTGCCCAGGACTTGTACTTCCTCTGCATTTTTGTCAGTACTTACTGTAAGATAATCTCTTTTGTAATTTTTATTTTAATTTCAATAATGACTAGTGCTATTGCACATCTTTTCCTCTGCATGTTGGCTATTTATCTGTTTGAAGACTTGTCAGTTTAAATTCTTTTCCCATTTTTAATGTGATTTTGTTATCTTGTTGTAAGAATTCTTTATATATTCTGAATAATAACCCCATAGAAAATACATGATTTGCAAAGATTTTCTCTCATTTTATAGGATGTCTTTACATTCTTTTGATTGTGTCCTTTGACACATGAAAGTTTAAGTTTGATGGTCTTGTTTTTCTTTTATCACTTATGCTTTTGATATCATGAAAAAAAACAATGCCAAATCAGCTGTTGTAAAGCATTTTCCCTTACATATCTTTACAGAATGTGCATCATTTGGGATCTTATATTTAGTTATTTAATCCATTTTAAGTAATTTTGTTATATGATATATAAGGGTCAACCTTCATTTTTATTTTTTGCATGCATATAGATATCCAGTTTTTCTAGCACCATTTGTTACTAGGTGATGAAGGAAGAGATAATCCTTTCTGAGAATAGTCTTGGCATGCTTATTGAGGATCATTTGACCATATCCAGGATGGTTAATTTCTAGGTTCTCTATTCCATTGGTCTATGTCTCTGTCTTTATCCTAATACCACACTCTTTGATTACAGTAATGTATATGTGTCTTTGAGATACATTTTGAAATCATGAAGTATGAATCTTTATAAAATTTGTTTTGACTATGTAAAGGCCTTGAGAATATGTATGAATTGTAGGATGAAGTTTTTCTATTTTTGCAAAAATTGCCTTTGAGATTTTAATAGGAATTTCTGTGAGTCTGTAGGTTGCTTTGAGTAGAATGGGCATCTTAACAGCATTGAATTTTCGAATCCATTAACCCAAAGTTTCCTCTCACTTATTCATGTTGCCTTCAATTTCTTTCTATTTTGTAGTTTACAGCATAGGACTGTAATTTTATTATTATTTTTCCTGTTGCGGGACCTGAACTCAGGGCCTGGTGCTGTCCCTCAGCTCTCTCACCAAGGCTAGCACATATTGGGCCTGTGAACAACTCCTTTATGGTACTTTATCTCCTGTTCTATGTTTCCTACAGTCCAGTGACTAGAATGCGAAGGCAGGCAAGGGAGGGTGTTGTGACAAAGCAATTGATAAGAGCTTCGGAGTCTGAGATTGATAGAAGGAATAAATCAGACAATATCCATGACAAAACACTTTGTAACCCATCATAGCCAAAAGAAATGACAACAGTGGTAACACCTTTACTTGTTGATGTTGCTCGCAATGTATTTTGCCTCCACATCAGTCAGTCCGTTTTTCTGCGGTATACTAGTGGCAGTGTCCTGTGCTTCAGTGAGCAATGATTTATTTCCTGGAAGTCAGGCACTTGTTTAGGCACATCAAGAGAGTTCCTAGGTGTGTATAGCAATAGAGGAAATGCTTTACCTGAATGTCTTCTGTCCATCAGCTCTACCTGCATATGGCACTCTGCAAGACAGGATTGAAGGAAAAGAAAAACCTTCTGCAAGAGAGATCTGGAAGCAGGGGTGATATTTGAGAAGACAGGGGCAGGAGTATCTAGTGAGGGCAGAGGAATGCACACAGAGTATGCCAGGGACACAGAGGAACCTGATGACTTCACTTCTGGCCTTACATTTTAGGAACACCTGTTATTTAGGAACATCCCCACCGTCAGGCTATCTTTGAATGTCAGGATGCAAAATGTGCAATTCTGATGAAAGGAAGGCTCAGATGTACCCGCCTGGCCTGGCATGAGGAACTGTGAAGAGAGGGGACAGTGCACAGGGCATGATGCTCATGGGTATGGGTATCTTTCTTTCCCTCAGAACCATTTCATAGAATCAGCAATCCTTCATTTCTCTGAAGCCATTTCTGGATTCCTCAAAATAGATAACCTCTGTAACTTGGTGAAGAAAACTTAATATGCAGCTACTACATATGTGAGCAGGAATTTCTGGTGACAAGTTTGTAGAACACGCCTTGAGAGCCTAAAAATATCTTTTCATTTTCTGGTAATAGGTTTGTGACTCCTATCCCACTGAAGTGTATGTTCCCAAATCAGCCACAGCACACATCATTGTGGGAAGTTCCAAATTCCGGAGTAGACGGCGATTTCCCGCCCTTTCTTACTACTATAAAGATAACCATGTAAGTCTCCAGACATGCCTTTGTTTTATGCTTTTCTTTACTTGTTTTTATCATACATGGGCATTTTTAGTTGCCTTGTGACCTGGTGCGTGTATGCTTGAATAATCATTATTCTTTCCGGACAGAATCTCATATAGCTTAAATTGGCCTAAACTTAAGTCTGACATCAAACTTGAGATCCTCCTGCCTCAGCCTCCATAATGCTGGGATTACAGGTATTTGAATTCTCTTAAAGGTTTTTGGATGTCCCTAGGTATGCTATGACAACTTTGCCTCTTGTAGAAGTTGGCTTCCATAATTATTTGACAATAAAGTAATGGTGTAGGCTCAGACAATAACTGGTTAATCAACCTTGTAATACTGTCATCTTCCACCCTTTCAGGAGGGCACTCTGCCTATTCCCGGAGGACCTTTTGTATGCCTGTTTCAGAAAGGCTCTGAAGCCCATAAAACATTCTTTTTCCTCTTTCTCTTTTCTCTTCCCCCCTTGCTCCTCCCCCTTCCTCTTCTTCTTAGTCTTCCTTTTCTTCTCTCTCCCCTCTCCCTTCTCTTTCCTCTTTCTCTCTCTCCCTCATATGCTTTGTTTATTTGCAATACTGGGGTTTGAGCTTGGCCTTGCACTTGCTGGGCAGGTGCTATACTGCTTGAATCACAGTCTCAGCCCTTTTTGCTTTTGCTATTTTTTTTAATAAAGTCCAAAAACAATTTTTTGGAAGGAGTTCTCACTTGACTTTTTGTCTTTGCTGTCTTGTAATTGTGATCCACCCAAGTAGCTGAGATTATAGATGGGATCTGAGTAGCTGGTATCACAAGCCATACCTGTTCTTCACTAGGCTGAACTGCACAGCAACCAATTATAGTATACAATAAATTATTTTCTGCATAAACGATTTTAGGTCTTTAAAGGTGCAAAAGAGAGATGTCTTCCTACGAATTGCTACCTGGTCTAGTTACCCAGGGAAATACATAATATGCATGAGCACTCACCCATTCTAAAATCTATTTTGTAGTGGAATAAGGATCAAATTTGTGTCTTGTTATAATGTTATATTTTAATACCTAGTTTGATTCTTACAAATGCGTCTAATTTGACAAGGACTTCTCATAAAGGGAAGCATTATCACTGAGAGTGGTTTTCTGTACTTACATGGAATACCAAAGTAGTTTTCCATGTGTTCATTGCTCATCAGAACCCATCCTTAGAACAAGCTATCTTCCATAAAAGCAAACAGGTACAAATTCCATAAATGTGCTGACTTTTTTTCTTTCTTTTGGTGATTTTAGATATTTTAGGGGAAAGTGTATTTTTTTTCTAGCCCAGTAGAAATTAGGCTCATGAATAAGAACATAGATCACATCTTAAAATTAAACTTGTAGCTCCAATGTATCAACCAAAGAACACAGTATATTTTGATATCATATCATTTTATGATTTCTGAGGTCTTACTGAGCATTATTTGCTATATAAATGCCTCTGCTGAGGGTACATAAGTTCATTTGGATCATCTGTCACTGTGCATGGGGTTAGAATCATGTCCTGTTCATCTGTTGGTGGGTTAGATGGCTGCCAGCACAGACACCTGACCCTGTTTATTACTCACATACACTCACTGCTCAGGGGAGGAGGACGTCATATGCCACAAAGAGTCTTATAGGGTTGCAGTGGAGAAACAGGGTGACCAAGCCAGAGGCCCGGACAGGCAGGAACTGAAACCCCATACTCAGGAGAGCAGGAGATGCCCTGTGTGTTAGATAAGGGACATTGTTTAATGAGGAAACCTCACTAGAAGAAGATTGTGGAGAGTAACATATATTGTGGCCTCAGTTTTAAGAGATATCAGAGAAATCATAATATTAATTTGAGGCCTACACCAGACATGAATTGATTGGAGCCAGTTGGAATCTAACAACTACAGACCACAGAGATGTGTAGATATCCCTTGAGTACAGAATTCTGGGTATGTTTGTAATAGAGAGCCCTTAGAGATGTTTTACCCTTTGTTCTTAATTATTGTGATACACTTTTTGTTTTTTGTTTTTGTTTTTTTCCGGTTGTGGCGTCTGAACTCTGGGCCTAGGTGCTGTCCCTCAGCTCTTCAGCTCAAGGCTACTGCTCTACCACTTGAGCCACAGCGCCACTTCCGGCTTTTTTCGTTTTGCTTATGTGGTGCTGAGGAATTGAACCCAGGGCTTCAGGCATGCAAGGGCAAGCTCTCTACCACTAAGCCACCTTCCCAGCCCTGTGATACAATTTTAAAAGAAGCTATTTTACTTTAGATTGCCACAATGTAGTCGCCACAATTCACAGCACAAACCTCTTGAAGATTTCCCAGGAGGCAGTTTTTCCTAAGAAGAATACAAACCTGTTCATGGTCATCACTATTGAAACTTCCTATGTGTTAGACACAGTTCTAGGAGTGTTACAGTGTTATATAACTTGTGACACCCTGTGATTTTAATATTACCTATTTTGTACATTAAATAAAAAGATTCAGAGAAAACATGTAAATTACCCAAGATTATATTGAATGAGAGTTAAACTACCAGCAATTCAAGCCAGATGATCTTGAATGCTTTTAGTGCTGTATCTGGCTAGCTGACTTATTTCCGCCTGGGATGCTATATTATTTTAGTTAAGAATTCAGGATCAAGAACTACATTGTCTGGATTCTCAGTTAGTCTCAGTCTCCCCAGTTAGTAACTGTGTGGTCCTGACAGATTCCTTAATCTCCCCATGTCTTGTCAGTTCATCTATAAGTAATGAATCTTACTCCAAAAGTTAGTTAAAGAGATTAAATAAGCTGTAAAGTAGTGTCTGCCACATAGCACTCAAGATGTGCTGGATATTATTTTGTGAATGTGCCAGTCTTGGGGCTTAAACTCAGGGCCTGGTCTCAGACCCTGAACTTTTTTGCTCAAAGCTAGTGCTCTACTACTTGAGCCACAGCTTCACTTCTGGTGTTTTTGGTGGTTAAATTGGAGATAAGTGTCTCATGGACTTTCTTACTAGGAGCTGGATTTGAACACAGTTCTCAAATCTCAGCCACCTGAGTAGGTAGGTTTACAGGAGTGAGTCACTGATGTCCAACAAGAATATTTTAATTATCAATAGAATTGTGAATCAGAGACTCCTCTGGAAATGGGTTAGAATGTTAGGAACACTTTTAGGTACTGATGGTTTACTTCTGTAATCCTAGCTACTTAAGAGTCTCAGGTCTGGAGCATGGCAGTTCTAGGCCAGCCTGGGAAGAAAAGTCTGCTAGATGCCATTTCAAAATAACTAGCTAAAAGCAAGGGTGGTAGAGTGGTAGAATGTTAGTCAAGAAAACAAGCCTAGCAAGCTCAAGGCTTTAAGTTTAAACCTCAGTACCAAAAAAAAAAAAAAACCAACAACAAACAAAACAGAAATGTTACTAGATGAAGACTATACTCTCTCAATAACCAAACTTTTACAGATATGTATAGGGTTCACAAAAGTACTCAGAAACTACCTTACAGTCTCTTCAAAGCTGAGTTATATAAATGATCACTGAGTTGACAAAGAATTCCGTCAGAACACATCACAGGTATTAAGAAAATTGCAAAATACCAAAATTTAGTCTGGTATATCCATTTTGCTGGGTTTTTGTGTGTGTGTGTGTGTGTAAATCTGTTCTTCCTAACTCTTCATTTAAAGGTAGTTGCTGGCCTGGGCATGGTGGAAAACACCTGTAGTCCTCAGTATTCGGGAGGTAGAGCTAGGAGGATCATGGTCCAAGGGTAGCCTAGACAAAAGAGCTGCAAAACAAATGAAAAGAACTAGATATATGGCTCAAGTAGGCACTGAAATGAATCACCAATATCACATAGACACACACACACACACACACACACACACACACACACACACACTATTTATCTGCTTTCCTCTAGAAGGCAGTTAGTAACAGTTGTAGTCACTAATTCATTTCATAATCAGAATCTCACTGGTTTAAAGAGTTTAGGTGAAAAGAATTTTCAAATTCTTTGCCTTTAAAGCTCCCACCCTCCTCTCTTCTGATGGAATCTAGGAGATCGCCTGGTGGTAGTTGTTTTTAACTAATATTTTGCTAACCCAGATAAAGTTCCCTAAAAAAACCAACTCAGAACTATTTTCTTTCCAGTCAGAATTCTCTCACAGCAGGGTGACAGATCCTGATTCCTTAAGGATCCAAAGAGTGGGACTCCAATGCAGGCTGGCTGTGGCAGTTTCCTGCTGTCCACTGGACACACCAACCTCTCACCAATCCCTGGTGACATGTCATCTTACTAATGGATCTTGCCCTGGCTCTGCGCCCTCTGCCATGTTCTGACTCTGGTCCCTTTTTCCCCTCCTCACTGTTCAAGACCTAGACAGCATCCCCTTTACTTTGCCTCCCCTTTCCCATACACTGCCCTCCTGATTCCGAAGCAAGTCCAGTATCCTGGAACCATATCAACCATTGCCTATGTGAGGACAGAATAATACTAGAAGTGGTGTGGTCACTGTTCTATGATTCTTACTTTTGAGCTAATGAGAAGTAAGCCCTTTTTCTCTAGTGAAGGGCACTGAAGCTTGTGTTTTCCTGGAGAAACCCAACCTTTTGCTGTGTTGTCATGGGCTGGGCTTTTAGGACAGGAGAGTTAGGGTTGATCTCAGAGGGAGTGGGCGATGATGAGAGATGACTATTTGCACTGTTTTGTTCCTTAGCCTGCCCCGAGGCTGACCATTGCTATCTGCATCTTACAGTATAATAAGCCATCTCAGTTGTAGATTCTGAGTTAGTCATGTGTTTCATTCAGATTCATATTTACTTTTTAAGAAACACTACCCCACGATATACAAGACTAAGCAGTCTCAGTATAAATTTCATTGAGTCATTCATATATTCCATTCATAGATTTATATTATTTTATAAACAGCCAAGTGCACAAAAAATACCATGAGTACATTCATTTTATAGTTTCAAGATTATCTGCAGTTGGGTACTTATCATTCAGGGAAAGCTGTATCAGCTAATGAGGCCGTCTATAGTCACCCCTTGGGGTCTGTGGAAGATTGGCTCTAGGATTCCCATCATGTACTGAATCCTGAGGATACTTAAGTCACTTACATATAAATGGCATAGCATTTCCATCTTCAACCTGCATACATCTTCCTGAGTACTTTCAATGGTCTCTACATTACTTCTGTATTATTTAAGAAATAATGATGAAAGGATCCAGGTTTTACTCTATAAATATTTGGCCACAGACGGTTGAATCCACCATTGGTTGAATCTGGAGAAGTAGGGCTTGCGAGTGCAAAAGGATGACTCCCCTGTGTTAGAATTAGAGGATAGGGAAATCCCGAGATTGAATGCAATTGAGTCTGAAGAAATTCCTTGTTTCTCAACATGCCTAGTGCAGGTATATGTCTGATGTTTTTAGGCACCAAAGCTAGTAACCTGGACCTTGTGAAATTTTAACATGTAGAATTAGGATTGATGTTTTTAAATAGACTAGTTTTTAAATGATGATTAAAATATTTTTAATTATCTTGTTGTTAATAACAACCTGTAAGTTTGAGTAGTCATTTATTTTGTAGTTATAGTTCTATCAGGAAAATGAAAGAATATCAGGGAAAAGGAAAGTAGGTTATTGAAATGGTTACAGTTTCAAGAGGTGGATCTTATCTAAACATCTTCACACATTCCTAGTATTGTACAGAGAGTTTTGGTACTGCTTGCCCATGTAGTGGTTTCTTTGACCTGATTTGAAAGTAAACAAACCTTGATTTCCACAGTTTTATCATATTTTCACAATCCGGTATCGGGTGAACTAAAGTGCTCTGAGACCCCGAGGGTCTCTGCTGGGTGCAGTTGCCTAATGGTGCCATGTTGTTGTGCCCTTTCCCCACAGGCCTCCATCTGCCGCAGTAGCCAGCCCCTCTCTGGCTTCAGTGCCCGGTGCTTAGAAGACGAGCAGATGCTTCAGGCCATCAGGAAGGCCAATCCGGGAAATGACTTCATTTATGTGGTGGACACGAGGCCTAAAGTAAGTGTCACCATTCGGAGGCATGTGAGAAAGCTGAAGTTAAGTCAGATCCTTTAGGTCCCCATCACTTGTTCTGATTGCTTCATCCGTCAACACGTGGGCTTCCTGCCTGAGTTCCTGAATGCCTGACTGTGTTGAGTCCCGTTCTGTTTCCTCTGCTCCTGGTTGACACTGGACACATGATGAATAAGTGCAGGTTAATATCAGAGACAACTCCCCTAATATATGCAGTTATCATCTGATTTGTTTTTAAAACATGTCTTTCTGCTCTGACAGCATGAGATTGACTATGGAGCTTGAACTCTTCAATTGTTGTGACATATGCAGCTATACTTTTTCCAATTTTACTTGTAGTGATCCTATACTTATTGAAAAGATCTACAAAACATCATGTTAAGTTAAAAATGAAGCAAGCTACAAACTAAGATGCATACTATGTTTATGGCTTTTTTTTTTGGAAAAAAACTACAGGCATATATAGAAAAAAGGTCTGGAAGGATAAGCCCTAAGCCATTAAAGTACCATGGAGAAGAGAAAAGGATTAGAGGAGGTTTAGAACTTTCTACTTGTCTATTTTTTGGCAACATATCATAATTACCTATGTATTAATTTTCTAATTTATGAAAGCATCTAGTTGGAAATAATACTAGTCACCAAGAGGTAAGCAATGTACCTCAGATTCAGCCTTAGTTTTGTTTAAGCAGACTCAGTGTTGGGTGCAATACAATTGCCAATTTTGTTCCTTAGACTCAATTTTTTTTGAAAGCAATAAGCAAATGGAGCTCTCGGAGTGGAGTGCTAGTGAAAACTTGGAATCAAGTGGTAAAGCACCAGCTATGAAAAACCTAAAAGAGAGCATTCTGGCCCTGAGTTCAAGCCCTAGAACCAATATAAAAACAAAAACAAAGCAAACGTAAAAAACAAAAAAAAAATCCAAACCCCAAAAAACCCTGAAAAAAAAAAAACTGAAGAGGGATGAAGGAAGGGAGAGCCAAAGAGAGGGAGAAGACAGAATGAAGTGTCCTTCTTCAACACATCTGGCATTGTAATCTCTAGCCAGTCATGAAAATATAACTGGGTATATGAATGATGCCATGTAAAAACGTGTATGAATAACTTCATTATTAATAATAACAAAACAGAATAACTGAGTGTTCAACTTAGAATGGAGTATTGTGGTCTATCCATTCAGTGGAACATTATTCAAGTATAAAAAGAAACGAGGTACTGATAAAAGTATAATATGGCTGACGATTGAAAATGTTATGCTAGGGCTGGGAAGGTGGCTCAGTGGTAGAGTGCTTCCTTTGTATGCATGAGGCCCTGGGTTCGATTCCTCAGCACCACATAAGCAGAAAAAGCCGGAAGTGGCACTGGGGCTCAAGTAGTAGAGCGCTAGCCTTGAGCTGAAGAGCTGAGGGACAGCGCCCAGGCCCAGAGTTCAAGCCCCATGACTGACAAAAAAAAAAAAAAAAATGTTATGCTAAGTGAAAGAAGGCAGTCACAGAAGACTCTCATTGCAAGATTCCTTTTATCTGAAATGTCAGGAATAGGCAAATTAGTAAGGAAAGACACTGTTGCCTCGGGCTGGTGGCTGTTAATGAATAGGAGATTTCTCTTTAGAATAATGCAGATGTTCTAAATGTTGAAAATGAACTTTACAACTTTGGGGGGGGAGGAGTTGAGGAGGTGGGGAGGCAAGGGATGGTAAGGGAAAAATAAAGGAGGGTGTAACAATGCTCCATAGGAAATGGACTCATTACCTTGCTCATGTAACTGTAACCCCTCTGTACAGTATCTTTACAATAAAAATATATATTAAGAAAAAAATAAGAAAACGTTATGGTGAAAGTTGTAAAATTACATGAATATTCCAAATTCTGCATCATTGAATTGTACCTTTTAAACGAGTGAGGTGGACAATATGTGAATTATGTCAGTGTAACAATTATTCATGTTATTTTGTAATGTCTGTCAATGTATTCATGTTATTTTCCAATAACATGAATAAATAAGAAAAATTAGAAAGTGAAATAATAGGATCAAATATTGGACTTACTTAGATTATATACCACAGTTATTTATAGACATGGTCTACTTTGGTAGGTGGAATGAGAAATAATGAGACTGGGTGCTATCTTTGCGTAGCTCCTTAGAACCTGATAATGTACTGTTACTCTGAGCCTCATTTCACCAAGTTCTGTGATTAGTACACTAGATCACTTAATCTGCTGTTTTTGCAGTGTAGTATCAGTGTCCTATTAACACGGAATTGACCTCAGAATAGTCCTGTCTGTTCTGACCACAGCGTGTTGTGGGGAAAGTGGCCTGAGTAGTTAGGATTGAGTTCACTCTTAGATGTCACTCAGTGAAGCAGCCATGAAGAACGACAGTGACATATGATGGTAGGTCACATTTGCATTCTAACAGATTATATAGCAAGGGTCCCTTTCTTTTAAATAAAATTTCAAAGCACAATACACAGATACAAGCTTCAAATCAGAAACAGAAGCAGCTTCTCTACTTGACTGTATTCACTTGCAAGAAATCTACTGTCCCTGTTCTCTTTCAACTTGACCTTTGCTTTTGGCTTGCATTTTAACCTCTTCCTTAGAACTGCCTTTGCTCGTCCTCCTGTATCTTTTGTATAATTAAAATTGAGCTGCTTTGAATTTCCTAGTAGTTGCAGATGATGGACTGAATGCCTGCTTCTTAGATACCCTAGAGACGAGAGATGAAAAGAAAAGACAGAGCCTTTATCAAGTAGAGACTAGAAAGTTGTTTTTTGTTTTTTTTTTTTTTTTCCTATCCTGCTTTTCCAGCTTTAAATGCAGGCACACAGTCTGGTGCTAATTTAAGAGCTAGTAATGCAAGTTTGTACTATGTTATATAAGCCTTCCCTAGAATGTAACAGCTGTAGGGCCAGGCATTTTCCAGATTTAAAACAAATTAATCAAAGGATTTGATCTGCAGTGTATATTTAGCACTCCGTGTGTTTACTTTCAGCAATAAGTAGTTTGACGCTGGTGCATTAAAGAAAATTGGCGACTCTAATGCTTATCCATGCACATGCACTTCACATGATTTTTAAACTGTTTGCCTCCAGCTTTCATTCTATTGTATCTATTGTATCTATTGATTTATGTCCCAGAGTGTTTTAGACTTCTTCGGTAGCCAGGACACTGAGCTGATGTTTGCTGCAGAAATGTAGACCATAGCACATGGTCACTTTCCAGGTTTGTTCACAGGTTTAATTAAAAGAGAAGGTTTGGGAGGGAGACCTTGTCATTCAAGCAAGGCTCAAACATTTGTTTGATGAAAGCTTAGTAAATTTTCCTGACACTGCAGTAATAGCAGACAAAAAATGGTGTGGTTCTCACACATGTACAGTATTGAATATGTGTTCAAAAATATGAGGTCACATATTACTGCTAGCGTTTGGTGCTTTAAGAAAACACATTTAAAAAAAAGTAGTGTAACTTTTGTTGAATTGTAGGTTGAGGAGTAGCTCATTTTTGTCTCAACCTTGTTCATGAATTTATCACATGTTCTGGAAACTTGCTGAGCTTTCAAAAATGCCAGGTGCTTTCTCTTTTAAATCTTACAAGAATCCTGCAGATTAGGCTTTCTTCCTTTCTTAAGATTAAAGAGATTAAATAATACACCCAAGACCACACAGTTCAGGGCAGATACCAGATTCAGAGATAGGTCTATCTGACTCCAGAGCCAATGTTCTTTGTGTTTGACCATGGTGGTTTTTCTGTTTGCAAAGACAATCTCCAGTGAAACCTTACCCACACTTGAAGGCTCATGAGGGTTACCATGGCTGACTTGAGCACAGTCCCAGTGAAGTTAGAGGTGCAAAATCTCAAGGACCAACCGTGAGTTCATCTAGAATCAAGCCAGGGCCAGAGGAGCTGTGAAGAAGTGTTGAACCATGAAAAGAAGGAACAAGGTTAAAACAGGCACCTGTCTGTGTTGATGTTCAGCCTTTTGTTCTTGCTCCCTTGCCAAAGATTTGCTTCATAGCTGTGGTCTCTGATTTCATCAGGGCAGTGATTTTTTTTTTTTCATTATGTAATAGGATGTCACAGGAGGTGTTTTCTTCTTTCTCTGGAACTGATGATGAGGTAGTATCTACTCACTGAATCCTGGAAAGGTATCTCTAAGAAATACAGGTGTGAAGATTATGGGCGACTGCAAGAACAGAGGCTAGGATCCAATATTCGAGTTCAGTGTAAGAAGTTAATTGGTGCCTGCCATTGTGGTAATGTGCAGACGAAAGCTGATAGATGGTAGCAGCCTGTATAGCGGCAGTAGAGAAATCTGCATGCCTGCTCAAGTTTGGGAGAAATTTCTCTGGGTCAGACTGGACCTAAACCATCTGGCTAGACCCTTTTTCCAAAATATGTTTTTTATTATAAAAATACTGTACAGAGGGATTACAGTTCATGAGTAAGGTAATGAGTACATTTCCTATGGAGCATTATTACCTCCTCCTTTGTTTTTCTCCTACCATCCCTTCCCTCCCTGCCCCCACCCCCACCCCCACTCCCACCAACATTGTAAAGTTTGTTATCAACATAGTGTCTTGTACATCTCATTGTTACAGTGGGTCAACCTGCATCCTTATTTCAGCATTTTGTTATTTCCCTTCCCCTCCTCAAATTAGAAAAAATGTATATACAAGATGCAGGGTACCAGAATCAAATACAGTGAAAACAGGAGTGCTACCTTGGGGGAAGAACATACAAAAGAAACAAAACAAATCACATAGTACATTATAAATACGTTAGAAAACAATTTGCTAGACCTTTTCTAAGAGGGCTTGTACAATGGTAATGTACTGAATGCACCATGTATACTGGAAGTGTACTGTGACTGTAGTATATATAGTGTATACTATAATGCCAGGGAAGCCCAGAAGATTGGAATAGGCTCATGCCAAGGTGGCTGTTCCATGTCAGTGAAATGTGTTCTTGCTACCTACAAGAACCCTT